ACAAAGTCGGAGGGGGTGGGGGGGGGTCAAAAAGTCTGGAAAATGAGTGACGTAATTTACTATACCCTTAACTTTGTCGTGACCTGTCTGTTGGCTTGTGGATGGTATTTAAATTCCTAGATCTGATTTTTATTATAAGGGTAGCTCCTGAGTTGAACTTAAGCACTAATTTAGTATACGTATCTCCCAGAAATGGCTTGTATGAGTCCTCTCGGACAAATATATCTGAAAAAAAAAGAAAAAGTAAGGGGCAAAACTATGTCTAAGGTGTGCACTGCAGTTACTTAACAGTAGAAAAAGCAATTGTCTGATCCAGCAATGAAAATTCAATCATGTCAAGCCCTGTCAAAATTCCACTTAATATTTTGAGTGTTGAGTAAGCAGCTCAGAACCACGCTTCCAACTCTATAATAGTGTGATGTGTGATGACTTCTCAAAAATACAACAAAACATGATTCAACCCATAATTTTTTCTCTTGGCTTATGTTCAGAACTTTAATTAGTTTTCTATTTTGGACGGTGCATTCGTTCGAAAGTTTTACGCAGTTCTCAAATGATTTACCACTGAAGACAGAGATATGGCTCAAAAGATGAAGATATGATACGACTGACACTTAGGCCTCTTCTCACCTCTTTTAATTTGGTTTTATTTTGGGTCGACGGATTTCGTTTCGACCAGACTAGATAGACATTTCTTAAGGGTGCGAATTTACTTTTTTTATTCGTTTATTTTTATTTGTCATACCTACATACTCCTATTTCCCTCTTTACTTTTTCATTAATTGTCTCCGAATTTTGATATCCTTGGTTTTGAGCACATCTTGTTTCCGAACTCGCGCAAATATTTGAGTTGATCTAACTGAATATATTCTGGATTTTACGTCAGTCCGTGTTCGCTTCGAACCATTAAAATTGTTTGCAGTGATGAGCGCTCACGCCCTATTACAAAATTAGAAGCCGAGATGATAAAAGATTGTATTGTTGTCACAGAGCAGCAGTTTACCTTAGCTTACGGCAAAAAAGCGTGATGTCGTCATGTGAGTCGTGAGTGCATTCGACTCTCGCTAAGGGCAATGACCACAAACCCAGACTATATTACATTTCTTCACCGGATTTTAATATAATTTAGGACTTCTTTTCCTTCCTTCCTGTCTACATTTCAGTTTCTAACACGTTGGAATGAAAGAAAAGAAATGAAAATAATTTGTAAGAATCTCACTGGCATAGAAGTTGCGAATGGAATATGTCAAAACGGCAGTACATATCGAAATGGGTTTATTAATACCTACTATACGACTTTGGAATAAAAAACGGAACAACCCTAATTTTTCTCGAGGTCTTGACGTTAAATAACTGTGTTGTGTTGGTCTCAGAAAATTTAATTTGATCAGGAATAGAACATGATAAACCATTACACGCGCAGCTCTGTTTTGACACGTCGATTTGCGATATTATGCGTCTCTTTGTCGTAAGAACTGAGCGAATTTTGAATGTTTGAAAGTCGCACGTTGTCCCAAAAAGTGAATATTTAAAAAGTATTAATAATAATAAAAAAGGAAAGTTTATAGGAAAATCAAGTGGGGGTGAATTCATTTCGGATAAAAAATCTCTTCAAAAGAAATACAGTGGAGAAAGTAATCGTAAAGAGTGAGCAATCGCATGCTGCACAGTATAAAATGAGCTCTCTGCTCTTACTTGTAGTGTGCGATTCAGACTTTTTTCGGAAATTTCTGCCGTATAAAAACGCTTGTGTAAGACGTCACCATGTTCATGTTATCTGGCAACTATGTCTGGCAGAAGTTGCGGATGGGGGTGCGGGGAGGGTGGAGAGGGAAAAAATGAAGAAATGTTTCTCATGGAAAAGCAAGAAACTAATGGAGCACTCTCGAGACGTAACAGTTTCCGAAAGGTAGATTAAAGCATTTGACACTCGGAAGATTTAGATAACTTATTTTTCTCGCTCAGATAACGTTTTCGATCTCATTTGGGCAATAAGGCTGTCGGTGCTCTTCGTTGATAAGCGGCTTTAAAATCGCTCGTTTGTAACTTTACGTTTTTTCAGCTCGCTGAGCTTTGTTTATTTTAATATTTCTGGACGCAATTCCGACTTGAAACTCCGCACTCGATAACAACGATTGAAACGCCGAGCGTTGCTCTCCGTTCAAGTGTTCGGTAAAATAATTTTGACGTAACTGGAAGATATCAGCCAAATCTGAAGATAGTATTCCTGGGAATATTGTAAAATTTGAAAGCTTGCTTCGCAAAGCTCGTTATTCTTTATGGCTCTTGGAGAATATGAGTTGCTCTAGAGGCCCAGTTCTCTCGTTCATTGTCCCTTATGATCAACAATCATCCTTTTAATCAAATATAGCAACAATAATACGGAGGAGAGTGGCATATTACGTTTAATTTTTCGCAGAAATGGAAGGGATATCAACCACGTTGGTAATGGGTAACCTATTCTATTCTTTACTCCCTACAAGTCTTGAACACAGGAATCAAAGATTTCCATGCTCTAAACGCTCAATTTGAAACAGTACCAAATGTTTTCTACTATTTTCTACATTTTGTAAGGTACTAGTCACGTTTGATTTGTCATCATTTTTTATTTTATAAATCTGTTCTTCCTCGGCCGGAAGTGTTGCACAATACTCGCA